TAACAGTTGTCAGAAAGAGAATGCTAGGAAAGGAAACGGCGGAAAGGAGGGAGGGAGGGAGGCACAAGGGTCAACCAGTTGTCGTGCTTGCCGAGCGAGAGCTTGATGTTAGAAGAGTGCTCGCTCATGGGGTCGTAGACGTCGGTAACCCTGCACGTGCGTTACAAAGACATACCAATCATCATCATCATCATCATCATCATCACAGCTACCACTTTGTCAACATCTTCCCTTTGATCATTATCATCATCATCATCATCATCATCATCATCATCATCATCATCATCATCATCTCACTTCTGCGCAAGCTTGTTCCATCGCTGGAACTCCTTCTCAGCACGCGAGCTATGAGCATGTCAGTTAAACAGTGCAGCAGGGAGAGGAAAGTGCGAGGAGACAAGAAGAGGACAAGAAAATTCGCAACCTCGTGTTTTGAGGACGAGCAGAAATGGGACATGCACGAGGAGGGAGGGTGAAGGGACGAGGAAGAGAACGAAAGGGGAAAGAGAGCGATGGGCAAGAAGGGACGAGGGAGGAAGGGGAAGGAGGAAGGAGGAAGGAAGGACGGGAAAGGGAGGAAAGAGAAAGGAGTAAGAAAAGTCACCTCAAAGGTTTTTCCTTGTTGGCATTGTCGGTATTAGGGAGGGTGACGAGCTTTGGGTTGTAAACCTTGAGAGTACAGCGTCACTGTTCTCGTCTCCCTCCTCTTCTTCCTCCCCTCCCTCATACCTTGCCCCAGGTCCTGGTAGAGGAGGAGGAGCCCCAAGAAGCATCCGCAAGCATCTGAGTCTGCGACTTCTACTCTCCTCGTCAGCACAAGCCTTCTCCCTCTCCCTCTCCCTCTCCCTCTCCCAACTTCATCCTCACCTTGGCCGTGGACTTCTTCACCTGCTGCAGCGTCAGCAAGAGGGAGGGGAGGGAGAGGTCTCAATCTACCTCAGGTTGCGCAGCCTTCTTGACCTCCTTCACCGGGACCTTCTCACTACGTTCAGCCCGCAGGCTCCAAGACTCAGGGGAGCGCTTTACCTTCTGGGAAGCAGCGGCAGCTGGCTTGGCCTGTTTGCCCCACAAGTCAGCTTGACGTGCAGGAAGCACGAACATGTCACACCTTGTGGTTGACCTTGGCGGCAGAGTTCTTGCGAGCAAGACGACGAGCCATGAGCTGGGGTCTTGGTAAGATTGCAGTGAACAGGACATGCTGCCCTCCGATTACCTGCAGCGCCATGCGGTTCCTGGCAGCAGCGCGAGCAAGCTCGGCCCTCTCAAGCCCCTCGACCGCCGCAAGGTTCACGAGGCGAAGTCTTCCGGCCCCATCGCGCATGACAGCGACGTCGGCGTTGACAGGCTGAGACATCATGTAGGGGACAGCAGCAAGAGACTGAACGAGTGATATGAGAAAAGGAAACATTGTATCATCACAGTCAAACTGATCAACAACATCAACATCAATTGCACGGGCACGGGCAACAACACATCATCATCATCATCATCATCATCGACTTCACTTTGCGCATCCAACATCATCGCAACTCCTTCGCATTCGCTCCACAAACCTGAGGGGTAGCCTTCATGTTGGTCCAGTCTCCTCCAGCGTAGTCGTGGTACTCTCCCTGGTACACAGGATCCCGACCAGCAGGCTCCTCGAAGGCACCGTCTCCCTTCTCATCGGTAGCGAAGTACTCGGAAGGAGCAGTGACGGCATCGTAGTCAGAGTCGACCCCGTTGTCGCCCCCCAAGTAGCCTCCAGGAACGTGGTACTCGTACAAGTTCTGCGCTACAGGGGCACGGAGGCGGGCAGGACCGCTCCTCATGTTAAACCACTCTCCTCCAGCGTAGTTATTGGGCTCGCCCTGGTAGATTGGGTTCCTATCGATGCTCCATGTGAAAGGAGCGTCGCCCTTCTCAGCAGAGGAGTAGTACTCGGAAGGAGCAGTGACGGCATCGTAGTCAGAGTCAACGCCGTTGTCGCCTCCAAGGTAGCCTCCAGGAACGTGGTACTCGTACAAGACAAAGATCTGTCCTGTCCTGGGGTCCTGAGCCAGAACCTCATGAGGCTTGTCAGAGTTCATCCTCCTAAGCACTGGTGCCTCGTTAATGATAGCCGCTAAGGTGTCGTAGCGCTTCTTGGCGAGCTCGACCTTCTTCAAGTCAGACAGCTCCTGCTTCTCAACCTTGTTGTTGTCCTTGTTCTTCCTCGACTTCTGCGCCGCCCACAGCTTGCGCATGTCCGCCGCCAAGTTCTTGGCTACCACACGCTCCTCAGAGTGAAGCATGCTCGTCTTCCAGAAGGCCGGAGCCATCGCAAGCTCCCTGCTGTCGATCACAGGGGCAACCATGGGCTGTCCCTGGAAGAGCCCGACCTTGCTGGTGCCGCTGGAAACCAGCGCGAGAGCAGCGAGGAGAGTCACCTGGGTTCAACGATTGAGAAGATTCAGGGAGCGCGCTACGAGTTAGAGTGCATGTAGGAGGTAGCTACTCGTGGAGAAGGAAGGGCGCAGGGATACTCAGGGAGAAGGAAGAAAACATGGGAAGCATGCGGCAGGAAGCTATTCCAGCAAGCAGCATCCCTACCAACACCACTACAATCCCTCTACCCTCCAGCACACGAACACAGTACTGCTGCCGCCCTCCAAGGGTCGAGCAGCAGGTGCGTCAAGCGGAAGGTATCATCATCATGACAGCATGATTCTCACCGAGGAAATGCATGCGAGCGCCGCCATCGCCTCCCTGTGCTTCCCTCGTCCTCCTCCGGCCGCCGCCATTGTGCCGTAGCTCTGCATTGTCGCCTGAAGAGCCGCTTACAAAGAGGCAGACCGTTATAGGCCGTTGCATGCACACCTTCAGTTCCATTCGTAACGAAAAACAACGGTCTCAGACGAATACCCAAGATAGACGAAGCAATGTCGGGGTACGATAGTGCGTCCTGGCGTGTCTGAGCGAGGCAGGAGGAAGACGATGATGGAACCCATAGTGATCTGACGAGGAGGAGAGGGCGAACAAGGATACAGCTGCAGGGACTGGCATTGTTGAAAAAAAGCAAGGACCTTGTGAGGGATATTCGACAGGTCCGATGACCAATAGCTGCAGTGCGGTGATGAGGAGGAGAGCGAGCAGGCATGATGGAGGATGCTTTCATCTTCATGTCACAGCGAGATCTTGCAAGCTCTTTCTCCTCCTTGCAAGCTTGTTGCCGGCTCTAGCACGTCACAATCTGCGAATAGAGCGGTCGCAAGAAAAAGCAAAGCTGTCCCTTTCGCCGACGAACAGTGAAGGGCCTCAGCACAAGAGCATCGTAATGAGGGTCTTGCCGCTGCTTGCAGCTCAGGGCAGCTTCATGGGGACCGGCCTATCCAACGCATGGCTGACATCTTCGGATAGAGTTGAGGTCAAGGTGTTCGCGTCGATGAGCGACAGAAACACCAAAGAGGCGTTCACAAAATCCATCGGGCACGTCGTGCAGGCGCTTCAGGTCAGGACCATGTTCATTGTGTGAGCAAGGTTGCCAGAGTATTTTGACTCCTTCCCCGAAAGGGCTCGAGCGTCATGAATTTACACATCGTCCCCTGGGGGGCAAGCACTGCGCTATCACAAGATGGGACTCCTCTCAACCTGACCAGCTTGCGAAGCCAAGATCCGTAAGATGTCAGACAGTGATGAGAGAAATCTTCCTGACTCGTCCTGTCTCAGTTCTTTGCTCGTGTTCGAATGTGGACCGCAGCCCTCTGACTCTTGCCGGAGCAACCTGTGGCACGGTTGTCTGCAGAAAAGATATCCCGATGTCAAGAAGTTCTTTCCAGTACTCTTACTCTCATGTGCATGCGCCTTGCTGATTGTTTGACAGGTCTCGCTCTGCATCATTGCCAAGGCGTGCCTGAGTGATGAGCGGCCGCCGGACCAGTGCTTTGGTCCAGTAGACGGTAAGGGTGCTCAAAACACGATAAGGGTGGGTATGATACGCGCGTTCGACAGATGTCGCAGCATCTTGTGTAGGGGACTTTGGAGATGGACTGAACGTTACGGAACTGCAACGATGCGTTAACGGCACTGAAGGTGCTTCCGTCCTTCTGCAGAGTGCGGCCGAGACAAGCGAGTTGGATCCCAGCCCACAGTTCTTTCCATGGGTCAGTTACATCGTGAAGAGAGCTGTTCAAAGTCATGACGCGAATGAAACAGATCACGATCAACGGAGTGCCTCTCGCTGAGATGGTGAGCGATTATGCAACCGAAGTGTGTCTTTGCTGACCTTGTGCGTGAAGGGGGGCAAGGGGAGCGAGGAGATTCGAAACCTTGGCAGAGACGTCTGCGAGACTTACTCCAAGGACTCGTGGAAGATGGTTGATGCCTGCAAAGGTGCTTCGTCGCATCTGTTCCCGTCCTCGCCTGAGCTATTCTCCTCAACCGCAGGCTTCTGGGAGTCCTCTAAGATGGACACAGCCGAGGATGGAGGGCCTACTCCCTCAGTCTTTGACGGTATCTACCCCCCCCCTCACAAAACCAGTCGCTCACACAACAAAACTTCATCTCATGCTCTTGGAAACATGCACTGAGATCGTCATTCTCTTGTTGTGACATCTATGCCAGGTCGTGCGAAGTCGCCGGAGAACAGCGGAGCTTGGATCTTGTTTCTCTTCATTAACTGCTTCATCGGCTTCATCAGTTACATCTTCTGCATACCTGTTGAGCGGCCAATTTCGAGCAGCGAAGCTAATTTAGGTTAACCAAGCACGTTTTCTCACTGTCAAATCAATTGCCCAATGTAAAGTTCCCTTGTAAACCACACGTTACAACTGTAAGCTTTGAAGCACTTGTCCGCTGTTGATGAACATCATCGATGCAATCCGAGAGGGTAATGGCTCCAATACATTTATTGAGCACAGATGGAGAGAATTTAAAAAACAATCGATATCAGTTATTTAAGACATTTGATCCACTTCATTCTGTCGATTAAAGTAGTACAGAAACAAACCAAAAGCAACAGAGACGGAAACTTAATGCAAAAGGAAGATCGATGGCAAGAAACAAAACTCAGCGACAACGCTATCAGCTGCTAGGAGTACTTCACACAACAACATGGAGATCAACCACAATGCCTTTCCCTTCAGTTTCCCATAGCAACTCTGGACAACAAGAGAATGAGGAGATCGTATCCAGAAAGAGCAAACAAGGGTATCAAGGTAAACAGCAGTAGTCAAACAGGGACACCAAGAGAAGTAAGAGACAACACCATGTTTACCAACGGCATTGACAGTAACCAACCTATGTCGTCTACCTAGTTACCTCACAGCCATGGCTCGAACGGTTATCAGAAATACTACCCTGACCCCTACCCACCCCCTCTAATGAATTTCCTAAACCACCCACCCATCTACCTCCACCCCCGTCTACAACAGCACCATACACGCATGCGAAAAGACTACCCCAACCCCTTGAAGCATCTTCCCAGAGGGGCTGTTCTTTGACCACCCTTCACATCTGCCTTCACATATTTTCCTCGATTTCTCCTGTCTCTGCCATCACATAGCTACACCATTATTTACTATATTATCACTTAAACAATATCTCATCTTTACCCCATATGCTTGGATATGGACATGTTGTACCCTACCAGTGCACAAACGCCACTCCACCCACCAGGAGAAAACTGAGACAGAACCCTTCCACCCCCAACCCCACAAAATCCTATCAAGTACCCGGTCGTAATTGTGAGACAGTCACAACTATCAGTGCTGCATCTGCTGATCCCGGATCCCAACTGGGTGGGGTAGTATGAACGGATCTGGGTGGGTGGAACAAAGAAATGATCTAAATATTCACTTGGTATTAATTACTCTATAAATTTGTAGTAATAAAATTAGGAGGACCTTGCCCTTCATCGAAATACCACCCTCGTACCCCACAATGTCCTCAATAACAGAAAAATCTATGGTAATAAAAAACAATATATAACTAATACTTTACTCACTATTGATGATTTTTACACATTTATGTGGGGTTATACCACCCCACCCCCCACTCACCTCTGCGTGCGTGCTAGCGCGGGCACCTTCCTCTCTTCCGCTCGCTACCTCGGCTCCCCCTGCCCTCCCTTCGCTGCCCTCCTCCCCCCCCCCCTTATCCATTCTGCTTCCTTGGCTTCTGTCCCTTCCCTCCACTCTTTTTA